CTTGGTTGAGTCATTTCTCACTAACTTTATATGGGTCTTAATCTGTTAACTCACAAAGATGGTCTAAAAACATAAAATTTCCCATTTTACCCTTTTGAACAGTATGTACTTTCTCATGTATACTCTTTCTTGAACTTACTCATCTAACCTCATCTAAGTGACTTAAAATCTTTTTGGCCATTTTCATGAAGTCACAACTTCATAATCTCATATTTTCTCATAATTGACCATTTTGCCATTTTGATCAATATTTGAATAAAAGTCAAATCTTTCTAAAATTTAGATTCTTACAATAAATTTTCATTATTCAATAAGATATTATTTGATGATTATAAAAAGAACAAAATATAATAAACAAAATAAGGTTATGATTGGGATCTCATGAGATGATGAAAAGAAAACCACTAAACCATTACTTAGATTCAATGTAAATTGTTTGTTCATTAGATAATGGTAGATTATTTGATCGACATAGTCAAAAGCATGTAAGTGATAATCATTATTAAATGTTATTTTTCGTAGTAGTGAAGATATATCTCCAAGATTATCTTTGAAAACCTTCTACATCTCCTGTCCGTTTGATCTTCTTGTCCGAATCTTGTATAGTGTCAATGAAATTATCTTCAATGATTGTCCATTCTGACAATTTTGTGTAAATAGATTGCCTCCATGAAGAAAACTGATTATGGTGTTTCATGAATCAAAATGTTAAATGTGACTTGAGCTTTTGGAGTATTCTAATGGAGCATCCACTTCCAATAGAACATCTAAATTAGTAATACATTAAAACTCACTTTAATGAGTTTTTTTTCTTCATTTTGTAATTGGTTTTTAGTTTTTTATTTTTATTTATTTTCTTTATTATGAATTTAAGGATCTACCAATGAATGTGATTGAGGTTGCAACACAAAATGTAATTCTGAAGACGCAAGTACCAACAGAGGAATGGACCCAAGAACAAGATATATATATATATATATATATATATATATATATATATATATATATATATATATATATATATATATATGATTCCTAAGTTGTAGTGTCTAAATCTAAAACAAGAAGACCCTCATAGAGGATTCTTAAAAACATGCTTAAAAACATAGGAGGTGTTGGTGGTTATCTAGATTTAGTAGTGGAAATGGATTAGGGTGTTAGGATATTCAGGGTGATAGTTGGTATTGGTGATTATGATGCTATTTTTTGAATAGTTTATGAATTCCTCTAACAAATTGGTTTGCCTTTTGTAAACATAAACTCTTTGTGAATACCCTTAAGATGGTTGGTTTGTATTTTTAAGGTTATATTTATCATTTTAGTTATATTGGTCAGATTATGCCCTTATGATGGTTGGTTGGTATATTATAGGCACTGTTGTAAAAATCTCGACTAAGTCCCGATTAATCCTTAAGCGCCACTCGACCGATTAAAGGGCACCTAGCGATTAATCATTGCATACATAATAAGTGAAACATTATAAAACGATGAAATTTTAACATTTTGAAGAAGTTTTATCTTAATGGAAACTATTTGAGTCATGATTAGTGTTGTATTAATCATATTAACCTATTTTGTTATCATATTAGTGTTATTTATGAACTTTGATATGATATTAGTCATATTTAATTTCTTAAAATTCAAAAAATTAGCAATTAATGGTACCCGATTAATCCTCTGATAATCTCCGCCTAGCCAATTAATCCCTTGACCCCAATACACCGACTAACTAACGTCGAGCGTTTTTTGCAACCTTGATTATAGGTTTAAGTTCATATTTGTCATTTTGGTTATATTAATCAGATTATGCCATTAATATGGTTGGTTACAACATACTACAGTTATAAGGTCATATTTGTCATTTTGATCATATTGGCCATATTGGTCACATTCAATAATATTACATTCTGAATGCATATAATGGTCATATCGATCACAATAATTTCCTCATTTCATTAACCAAAAAATTTGCTATACACCACAAGACTTAACCAAAAGATAACATGATGAATTAAAATATTACCCTACAACTTATGCCAAACTAACGATACATCATCCCAATAATGACTCACACGAAATAAAACATCATCCACTTCCATAATTCAACTTTATCAACAGGTATAGTGGCATTCACAGGCAATCTAACTTCATTAAATTTAGGGGAATCAGACACATTGATAGGTAAATGAGCATTAAGGGCAGATACATGCACATTAACAGGTATATGAGCATTAACAACTAATATAGCCTTAGCAAAAGCTCTCAATTTGAACATCTTGTCTCTATAATATTTGTTTTTCAAAGCCAAGAATCTAACAAAATACTTGCGCTCCCTTTATTCATACCACAATAACAAAAAAATTGCAACATTTATAACCTAAATCAAATACTAGTAATGAAAATGGAAAATATAGAAGCTTTACCATGAAATTTGGGCAACCAAAGAATCTTTGACCTGGATTCTTTCAAATCCATGATGTCCACATTCCACACAGATCTCCACAATCGCACCTGCATTAGAATGTTTGAAGAAAAAGACAATATCGATTTACGCTAACGAATTGGAGATATGAAGATTTTTGATATCTTATTCACTTAAATCCATCCCCAAATACTGCTTCATATATGAAAACCCTAAACGTATAGTTGGTTGGGCATGTTGTCTTGCCACGTATGATGTCATATATTGGGTAAGCTACTAATTTCCCGTAATTGATTATATTAACAAGTAACTTTGGCTCGATTGCTACAAAAATATACTATGACTAAGGGGTTGTTTGTTTATCTCTTAATTGCAAAATTAAGAGGCAATGTCTTAAAATTTCAGATTCAAATCGTTTGTTTGAGTATTATATTTTACCTCTTAAACTTAAAAATACCTCTTATTTTTTCAGATGTTAAACCAAGTCTGAAAAAAAAAAAAAAAAAAAACATGCGTGCTTTCTATTAGCCCTAATCGACCGGTCGACGCGTCCTTTCTTTCCTTCCCACATCGTCTGCTCCCATCGCATCTTCTCCCACCGGCGACACCTGCGACTGCTACCACCGGCGACGCCGCACACCGATGACGCCAGCAACGCCGCCAGCCTCTGCCGCCGGTTCGTTTCTTCCTTTTTTGCCCTCGAATTCAATGGTCTTGTTTGTTCCTTCTTTCCCTTCAAAATTGAAAATCAAAAATCGAATTCAATGGTCTTGTTTGGTTTGAAATATGGTTTGATTTTGATGAATGTTGCTGATTCTGGTTTGATTTTGATGAAATGTTGTTGATTTTAGTTTGGTTTTATTTGATTTATCAGCTATGGCTTCTTTTCCATGTTTATTTTACTTGCATATGAACCATTTGATAAAATGCCTGAATGAAATTGTTTCAACTTATGATTTATTTAAATTTCTTTGTCTTGAATCTTTTTCTAGAAAAGAAACCTTGGATGATAAAAATTGTTTGTATGTAGATCTGTTAATATTCTCTCTTAAATTGTTCAATGTGGATGGTAAAATCTGATGTATCCTTTGTTTGGTTGATATAGGTGATTGATAATGAACAAGATGCTATCAAGATGAGGATGACAATGGATGCAGTTTTCAATGTGATTGTTCTGATGTTTATTGCTGCAATTTTTAAGTTTATTTGGACTGTTGCATTTGTGTGTAGATCTGTTAACATCAATTTCTATGTTGTGATCAATATTAGCATACAATTTAAAACAAAGCAATTTTGATTGTTATAATTGGATACATTAGCCAAATATTTATGTTTGATTGTTTAATTTTAACTTATGTCTAATTTGGATTTTGTATGGTGTTTTTATAATTTTGCAAAAAATATACAGAAGGGTAAAATGGTCATTTTTATAATTAAGCACAAAAATTCAGAGGTTCTAAACAAACAACATGTTCACAATTCAGATCTTAAAAATTCAGACCCTCTTAGAAATTCAGATCTTACCAAACAGCCCATAATTTGAATATAAGTTCAAAATGTAATGACTTTTTTAAAGATTTCCTTTAACAAAATTGGTTAAGATATATCGGTTTTCAAGTTTTTACTCCTTCAAAAGATTATGGGTGTGTTTAGGTTGGCTTTTTTATCACAAAAATGATTTTTAAGAAAATTACTTATTAGTTTATGGCTTTTAGGAAAAACGGATTTTAAAAAATGTTTAGATAATAAATTTTGATTTTTAGGAGTAAAATGACTAAAAAACTAAAAAAAATTAGGATTTTTTAGTTTTTTGAAAACTTTACTTTTTTCTATCTAAAAAGATGTTTTAAAAAACGTTTTGTAAATATACAAACATTTTTTGTAGGTTATTAGTTTTTTTAAAAACTAAAAAAAAAATTAATAAACTATTCTCAAAAACTATCCAAACACCCACTATTTTTTTCTTTCAAATTTACTTGTTACTTTTATACTTCTATTAGTATACAAGAACTAGCAAAGGATTCAAAACCATTTGCTTTTTTTTCCTTAGAAACCAAACATTTTACCTAACTTAGTCGTATCTTATTTTTTTATGAAAATAATTATATGCTATCCAATTTTATAACTTTTTAATTTGCTTTAATGTAATTTTCTCAAGAAAACTTGGTATTCCAAGAATTCGAATTCGTGCTCTTCGATTGAGACACTTTAAACGATCTTCTTTTTTTTTTTTTTATCTAATTTTGTTTGCATTTTAAAGATCACTTATGTTTAGCTAATTTCACGGTTATTTAATTCATGGAAAATACCATTATTTCTTTGAGAGATGACACCATATTTTGTAAACATTTATGTCGTTTTTGCAAACTTTTTATATATACTTCATTTTTGTAAAAGGTTATGTTATTTTGTGCTCCATCTATAAGAGCATACGGTGTGGGTCACAACGAGAAATGAATTGGCTGAGTTGGCACATGAAAACGGTGTCATGACACGGAGAACACCGCCCCCCCCCCCCCCCCCAACTTGTTGAATCTTGTTATGGCACTTCTCGTGCTCGTTACCACATATTGAAACGAGAATAATAACCAATCAAAATCATTTTCTTATCTCTTTCTCTCTTTCTCTCTCTACCTTTTTCTACTTCTTAACAAGTTATGACATTGGAACACCACCCCCTCTTCTTGTTGCTTCTTGTCATAACACCACTTCATGTTGCCCACACCGTATGCTCTAAACAAATATATCAGATTGCATAAATTAGTCATAGTCCAGGGGGGTTAATTGTAAAATATGACAAAAAAGTGTTAGGACAAACCAGTCAAACTCGGGCAACAGTATTAAAGACGATGATATCTTGCGAGAATTTAGTAAAGTGCTGCTCTGTCAGGTTCTTGTTCTTCGCATAAAAATCTTCACTGGATTCCATTAATCACAGTCACCCTTCTTTCTTCTAAAACAGCTCAACAATTTTCTTTATAAAATCGAAAATATTACATGCGGCAAGCAACTTGCAGTGAAGAATTAACGGAGATTAGTCAACTTTATTGTCTTTGGCTTTGTTCTGGAAGGATTCTCCGAGACTAAAATATTCAACACACATATGAATATGACTATGTGTGCATATTGAACACGCAACTAGTGTGCGTGTGCGTTTATTTTCACACCCTCCAAGTGTTTGTTTTAATTCCCCTGTGAATTTTTTCATAGTTTGATCACCTGTTCTTCAGAAGCGAACCCATCCTTCATCTATCTGTTATTTAGCCTGCGAAGCAGCAAAAAGCGCGTGATTTGAGCCGCTGATTTGACTCAGAACGAGCGAAGCGATCAAGAACGCCAGCGATTTGGTACAAAATGGGTTCCTGTTTCAGTGTTCGATTGAAAATCGAAAGCTCTCGGCATGATGGTGAGTATATCGCGTCATCTAATCATGATCTTAATAATATCTACTGCAATTTCCCTTTCTTATTCACAAAAGAGCGAGACTTTAAAACTTAAACCTCGGAAGCCTTTTGCTTCTGCAACTTTCTTGAAAATTTTCGATGCTTATTGATCCTCTTTCTCCTACTTACACATATGTTTGTATTTCTATGATTAATCGCCTGTAATTCTGTTTTATATTGTTTTTTGTTGGGATTAAAGTTGCTTTCAAGCTCGATAGGCGTATATATTTTGCATGATTAAGCTGTATGCCTCTATTTATCGACAGAAAGGTTGGATCTTTAGAAACCAATCATGTGACCAAAATGATTAATGTTGATCACTAAGTAACCCATGATTTTCTGTAAAGATCTTTTTAAAATTTCGTAACTTTTTTATCACAGGTAAGGTCACATCTGCCTCAGTTCCCCCAAGCCCTCGAAGCCCAAGAAGCCAAGATGAGATTTTGCAATCAGGAGATTTAAAATCTTTCAGTTTCAATGTTCTTAAAACAGCTACAAGAAATTTTAGACCCGATAGTGTATTGGGTGAAGGTGGATTTGGGTCAGTTTTCAAAGGGTGGATCGATGAAAACTCACTTACAGCTGCAAAACCAGGTACAGGAACAGTGATTGCAGTCAAAAGGTTAAATCATGAAGGCATTCAAGGTCATCAAGAATGGTTGGTAAGTATATGAAGCTATGAACAAGAATGATTTTTAATTAATAAGTTAATTATAATAATTTTGGATAAACTGGTTTCATGTTTATGTTTATGCAGGCTGAAATCAATTATTTAGGGCAGCTTAATCATCAAAATCTTGTAAAGTTAATCGGTCATTGTTTGGAAGATGATCACAGAATGTTAGTGTATGAGTTCATGCCACGTGGCAGCTTGGAAAATCATCTTTTCAGGAGTGAGTTTTTGTGATTGTTCCTCGTTTATGCAATGGTAGATATGAAATTGAAGTTTCTAAGTTTTCTTTATTATTATATTAATTAAAAAAGTTAAAGACATGGCTATAATTAAAAGAATATGGTAACTTCTTTGTATATGATATGAATAGTTTTTTGAGAAATATGCATTGCTTTGGGAAAAATTTTGATAAAGTCCTAAATATATTTTTTTTTAACAGAAAAGTCTCAATTATTTAATTTTACACGATAATCTGTGATTTCTTGTTAAAATAAAAATAATGACCTTTTCGTTAATTTTGGCAAAATATCAAATAATCGGGACTTTTCTATTAATTTTTTTTTTATGACATTAGAAATTTTTTTCCCAAAATAATGAAACTTTACTGCATATCTCCCATAAAGGTTATAAATTTCTGCCACATCAGTATATTACACATGTACATCCTATGTGGACGATGAGTCGATGACATGGCATAAAAACATGTTAACTTATGTCATGTGATCATAATTAAAACAAACACATTACACGTTAAAATTTTGAAAGTACAATTGTATGATAAAATAAAATTACAAACTTCATTGCTATTTATGGAATTGGTTATCTTTTTTTTATTATTATTACAGGAAGTTCTTATTTTCAGCCTCTTTCATGGAACCTTAGAATAAAAGTTGCTTTAGGTGCTGCAAAGGGACTTGCATACTTACATAGTCCTGAAGCAAAAGTGATCTATCGTGATTTCAAGTCCTCCAATATATTAATCGACTCAGTATGTCTCAAATTAATGATTATTCACTTTGTTTAGTTTGTGTTTTTACGAATTTACCCTTTACTTGCTTCCAGAATTACAATGCAAAACTTTCGGATTTTGGGTTGGCAAAAGATGGGCCCATTGATGGTAAAAGCCATGTGTCTACACGGGTTATGGGTACCCAAGGTTATGCAGCTCCTGAATACATGGCCACAGGTAATCATATTGAATATATATATATATATATATATATATATATATATATATATATATATATATATATATATATATATATATATAGTTAAGTACTTAAGTCATGTATGGGTAAAGTGACTGAATCGGTAATGATGTTAGTATAGATAAAGTGTTGTACAATCAATGATACATAACGTTTTTTTTTTCTAGACTGAATAAAGTGTGTTAATAAGACTAAGGCTGTGTTTGTCATGTTTGGCAAGCCAAAAAGTAGTTATAAGCTAGCTTTTTAAAAAGCTACTCAGACTAGCTTTTTAAAAAGCTACTCAGACTAGCTTTTTAAAAAGCTACTCAGACTAGCTTTTTAGGAGCTTTTTTAAAAAGCTACTCAGACTAGCTTTTTAGGAGCTTTTTTAAAATTTTCCAAATATATCCCTTAATTAATTATAAAATCACATTCTTTTAAATATCCTTTTATGTCATTTCATATTTTTCAGCTAGTTTTACCAAATATCATTTTTTATCAGCTATCAGCTAGCTTTTTATTTAATAGCTAGTTTTTCAGCTATCAGCTAACTTTTTACCTAAAAGATAGTTTTTCAGCTAGAATGCCAAACATAGCCTAAATGATCATTTTACCCTTACATTCCAAAAAAATAATTTTATAATATTCATCATTTTTAACGTGAGAAGAGTTGGAAGGAAAGTAGGTAAATGTTTAGAGTGCATTTGGTTGTGGAAAAATTTCCAGTTTTCTATGAAAATTGTCAAATGAAAATGAAAATTTTGAAAACGCGTATGGTTGATTTAGTTTTCAAAATTTTTCCAAAAAAATGAAAATTTTCTATTTTCCAAACTGTATGTAAATTCGAAAAGTGATTTTTACGGTTTTCCAAAGTTTTCTAAATTTCTAAAAGTGTGTTTAGTTGTAGAAAAATTGTTTTTGTTTTCTAGAAAACATTTTCAGAAAATAGAGTTTAGTTTTCAATGAAAATTTTAAAAACACATTTGGTTGAAACCAGTGGAGTTTTCATTCCGTTTTAAAAAATCACTTTTCTAATTTACATACAATCTGAAAGAAATAAAATTTTCATTTCCTTGGAAATTTTTGAAAACCGAATAAACCAAACACATTTTCAAAATTTTCATTCTCATTTTTCAAATAGCTTCTTCAATTTTCCTTTCAACTCCTCACCTTAGGATCGATCGATATTTTTTAAAAATGATTAATATTTTGATACACGAATCTTTTTAATCTAAACTTAATCATGTGTTAAATTGTTATGAAGGTCATTTAACTGCAAGAAGCGATATATACAGTTTTGGGGTGGTACTCCTTGAGCTTTTGACAGGTAGGCGATGCATTGATAAAAACCGTCCACCTGGCGAGCAGATATTGGTTGTATTTGCTAAGCCATTTTTAACTAGCAAACGAAAGATTCTTCACATCATGGACCCACGTATCGAAGGGCAATACGCGTCTTCTGTTGCCACGCGGGCTGCCATGCTGGCAATGAAGTGTCTGATGAAAGAACCTAAACACAGGCCGACTGCTGATGAGTTGGTTAAAGCATTGGAACAGATTCAGGAGTTGCAGAAATCATTGGAGAATGTTGGAATGGAATCAGTGAGAAAAGAGAATGGGAATGGGAATGAGAAGAAAGTTGTTTCTTATCCGAGGCCTGTGGGGTCCACTAGTGTTTAAAATTTTATTCAGTTGGGGCTGAATAAGTTGTATTAGAGTTGGGAAAGAAAAACAGGGGTTTAATGGAGGGGATATTTTGGTGTACAGTTTTTGAGTTTTGATGCATATATACATTCGAATTTGGGCGATTCGTGGTGTATGTGTATGTTGTGGTGAGTGTGAATGTGTGATTCTCATTAAGAAAGAAATTTGATGTGCTTAAATTGATCCAAATTTCGTTTCTTGTAGAGTTTGTTTGAAGGATAACTTGTAACTGGTTAAAGCAACAAAAGATATAATTTGAACATAATTGGAGATCACTTCGCTAGATTAGTTATTTAATTATGAAGGAAGAGATTCTAGTATCTCTCACATCCCCTAAATTTGAAGGAAGAGATTTTGTAACGTGGCTATTTTGGTTATTTAATTATGCATTTTACGAGTTTTATTTAGGGAAATTTATAAAAAATAAAAAAATAAAAAAAAAAGTTCTTATTTTTAAACATTATAATCAATTTCGTCCTTATCTTTTTTCTTTAGTATAATTCCAAAAAACCGGAAATTATATTTATTTTGACCCTTTTACATCCGACTTTTAAAAACTATAATTTTAGTCTAGATATTAAATTTTATTATAAATTTGGTCAAAACTTCACATTTTTAGTCTAGATTTCAAAATTTTGCTACAAATTCATCATATATTTAACTCTTTTTTTTTCAAAATTTTGTTTTGAATATGATTTTTTTCTTTATAAAATCATAGTTATACTAAAAAAATATTATTTTCACATAAAAATCTTCTTTTTTTCTATATAAAAACTTTTTTAACACTTTTGTATGCAAAATACCTAATTATAAAAATATGTATTTATTAAGTACATAAATAAACATAAATCTGTTTTTATTAAAAAAAATGAATACAAATACGTATTTTACAATGCAAATCGTACCTTTAGAAAAAATGAAAAAAATGAAGACAAATACGTAATTATAAAAAAATGCATGGAGTCGATGTGTCACGCCCACTCGCCAAGCTTCTTGGCATGCGCTAACACCACCCCCTTAACATATGTAAATGGCATGCGCCAAGCATGGCTTGTTGGGAGAGAGAGAGAGAGATAGAGATTTTAATTTTATAATTCTTCCAAAATTAATATCAAACTCACCACCATATGCCAAAAAAGTAATGTGACAATATTTTGCACATGTTACCATTCCCTTAGTCTCAGTGGAAACCACTTAGAGTCTTATATCATATCAGTTATTCATTTTAATTTATTCATTGGTATTTTATATTGTTGTTTTTTATAGTTTATAAAATTAAGAATTTCGTATATCTCCTTCTCATATCATATTTTTACTTTCATAAACTTTTTGAAATATAGTTTTTATAATTATTTTAAATTTTTATTTCTATCAATTACCTATTATATCCTTCTTTATGTATACCTTCATAAATTTACTAAATAACATTATTTCTTGCTTAGAAACACCAAAATGAGTAGTTCTTTTTTATCAAACCCAAAAATCCAACAAATACTACGAAACTTATGTTTGTTTGTCACCACACACCTCTACTACTCTGCTTCAATCCAGATTACGCAACTGCAAATGCACAAAGTGATATTTATATCTATTAATATTTGCTAAGTAAATAATGTGATGTACTTATTATTTGTTAAATGCATATCGATGCATCATATTATTTCATATTCAAACATCGGCAAACTAAAACCATATAGGCATAGTCTGGATACCAACATATAATTTGTATTAGAAACTAATACAAACACCCCTACCACAAAAATGATTGGTTGAGACTAAATGTATATATACAATAAAATGAAAGCTAAAATTATTATCTTCTCATGACTTGAAAATGAGCATGACAACTCATTGGTATCGGTTGTACCGATACAACATTAAAATATGCATAGCGTGCCTTTAGTTCACATGTGATATTTTATAGGATCAAATAGGAAATCACGAATTTAATGGAAACTAAGACCAATTGACATGTAAAACAATTTATATGTAGAAATACATTTGATAATATGACTTCAAATTTTCCGATATCTTCTAGGGTTCAATAAATCCACCTTGTGATGCCAATGATGAATATTTCACAATTTCCGTCTTTGTTTTTTATATTCTTAAGTATTAAACTGGTTTTAACAAAAAATCTTAAGAAAAATAAAAATTCTTACACGCATGGATACATATGGAAGTGTCAAATATTGAAGGTAGAGATAATTTCATTGTTGAAGGAACGATGATATAAACTTAATCTATTCAAAGAAATTAAAATGATCAGCAAGATTTGTTTGTGTATGCATGAGCAAATATTAGTTTAGTACCTATAGTGAATGAAATTAGATGCTTCTTTAAGCAAAAGTTTTTACCCCGAATATAACATGTGACATATCGGAAGCAACCACATATTGAACAGTTGGTAAAAGAAAATTATTGAAATTTATATGAACAACAATACACACATAAAAGTCTTTTTCCTTCTTTAAAGGTCCTTAATCCTCTCAAAATATGATAAAATGTTTCTATTATTCATCGTATTTATATTTGGTCTTGTTATGTTTGATGTTGTTCATGTTATTTTTACATTGAAGAGCCAATTAATAATCATTATTAAAAAGTCGTTTGAGTTGTATTAGTCAAATTATGGGGTTTCAAATGCATAAGAATCAAGGAAAATGTTTCCTTTATAAGATACTAGTTTATAACCCGTGGAAACCACGGTTATTAAATTAATTAAACTTTTATAGTAAAAAATTCAAAATTATTAATCAATTATTTTAAATAAATTATTAATTCAAGAGATATTTTTATTAGTTATGTGAAATTATAATCGTTGATTCAAATAAATATGTAAAATTAATTTTTAATATATATTAGATATTTTTTATTTGTGAATTAATGAAAACAATAATATAAAATAAAAAATTTAAATTTAAGTTTAAAATAGAGAATAAATACATTGACAAATAGTATAATATTACATTAATGAGGATGTCTAATAAATTTAAAATGAAGAACTAATTGATTGACAAGTGGTAATACATTAATTAAAAGGTCTAATATGGTGACACATGGCAAAAGAACTACTCTTTTATTAATATAGGGAGATATAAGGAGACTAGGCGAATGCTCGCGCGTTGCGCAGTGGGATAATTATGTAGTTTAATATGGTTATATATGGTTTAATGTATTGTGAATAAGTCATACATAAAACTTGTATGCGATTAAATAACATGTATATTTTTTGATTTACAGATTTTTTATCATAATAAATAATGAAAATTTTTTACTATTTGTTTAAAATTTTAAATGTAATTTTTATGTACACATTAGTATTTAATGTAATTAATTGATAATTGATTATATATGGATTCTTATTTGTGGTCGTCTATTTATATTGAACCTCATAAAAATACATATTTAACGACTTTTGTTAGTTTTACTATTGAATAGAAAATGGTGCCGTATTTTAAGTAAATATAAAAAATCTCATTCTCAATCTATTTTAAGATAGTGACATATTTTAAGTTAATATAAAAAAATCATATTCTTGAACTACTGAAAAAAAAACGGAGCTAAATTTTTTAACTATAATAAAGTTGATTCCAATTACCATGTGCTCAATCGAACATAATATCATTCAATAAACATCATAAGATATTACGTTATATTCAAATTACGGACATCATTTTTGTAAGAGTCATTCAAAATATATGAGACTATAGTGCCTAATATAACAATGTAATAACCAAATGACCCTAACATATTTTAAATGAAATATAATTATAATATATTATCTATGCAACTAAATTTTCTGCACAACATGTGAGATTCGTCTACTATATGGTATTCTTCTAATATATTATATTATTGTATAAACATTATATTTGGAAAACCACTTTGAGTTATATTGTAGTTTATAACATTAAATTTGTGATAAGCTGTATTTGACACACATGGGTGTATTTATATCTATATTATATATTTAAAACAAATCTTATATAAACATCCAATCTAAATATTCATCTTCAAGTTTTCTTTCTTCGCCACGTAAACAAATTTTTGTTATAAGGCCAAAAATGGAATAAAAGACACACTTAATTGTATGATCATGATATATTGTATTTTGATTGGGGCTTGTACAAAACATGCATGCACATATATTATTAATTTATCTCTTGTTTCGGGTAATTCGAATAAGATAGCTTCAAATCCAACGTATCAAACGGATTACCCATTTACTAAAGTTTAAAACCCAAAAACTCAAACATGTTCTAATACCATACAAATGCATGATGTTTTAGCAAATTATTATCTCATATGAATTACCATTGATTATGTGTGATTAATTATTAAGAAGGTGAAAAGGTTTGGGGGTTTCAAATGCATGAGGTCTTATATAAACATCCAATCTAAATATTCATCTTCAAATTTTCTTTCTTCGCCACGTAAACAAATTTTTGTTATAAGGCCAAAAATGGAATAAAAGACACACTTAATTGTATGATCATGATATATTGTATTTTGATTGGGGCTTGTACAAAACATGCATGCACATATATTATTAATTTATCTCTTGTTTCGGGTAATTCGAATAAGATAGCTTCAAATCCAACGTATCAAACGGATTACCCATTTACTAAAGTTTAAAACCCAAAAACTCAAACATGTTCTAATACCATACAAATGCATGATGTTTTAGCAAATTATTATCTCATATGAATTACCATTGATTATGTGTGATTAATTATTAAGAAGGTGAAAAGGTTTGGGGGTTTCAAATGCATGAGGTTTTAGCAAATTATTGTGGGGGTTTCAAATGCATGACATTCAAGGGAAAATGCAAGTTTTATAAGTATGTAAGATATAGATATAGATATAGATATAGATATAAATATAGATAATATGAGTTTGAATAACCTGTGTGGAACTTGAATTTGAAGGGTCACTCCATATTACAACCCTTATATTTTTTTTCATACAAGGTTAGAATAAACTGATTATTTTTTCCATGTTGAGTTATCTGCCTTGGCTACATTTTAGGATTAAGAACCACCTTAATCGGTTAAGCATTAGTTGAGTTACACAACCATAAACAAAGACTATTGGAGTTGATCTGTTTTTAGTTTATACATAATTTTTAACCAACTTTAAATAGCCATAGCTTTTTCATACAAGCTTCAAATAAATTGATTTTTTTTTCTAATCTAGTTTTCTGTTTTGGTTACATTTTAGGCTCAAGAACCACATTAATTGGTTAATAACCGATTGAGTTACATAGTTCTAAACAGAGGCTGTTGGGCTGATTTTCTATAAGACTTAATTTTTTAGGCTCAAAAACGACT